ATACCGGTAACACCAAAGATGACAAGGATCTTGGAAACATGAGCCACGAAGACCTTATGAAGCTAGCGGCAGCCCAAGCAGCCAGTGAAGAAAAGGGTACAGAGCAGGCTCCCACTGTCAACCCATTGACACAGCCTCCACCTCACATACCCCCGCCAGGACCTCACATGTTTCCAGGACACCATCCCATGATTCCTCCACCAATGATGATGCAGCCTCCATTTCCAGGAGCTCCCCTGCCCCCCAACATGGTACCCCCAGGCGCTCCACCACCAAACTTGTCGGGAGTACCACCCCCGAATATGGGAGGTCCTCCTCTCCATCAGTTTAATCCCCCAGGACCTCCACCTGTGAGTGCTCCCAAGGGACCACTAGGGCCGCCCCCGAATCTTGTCAGACCACAGGAAGGCGGGCAATTTCCGCCGGAAAACAACCGATTTCCACGTCCAGGGTTACCTCAAGATGCGGTACAGTTTCCACCACAGTTCCCTGGTAGACCCCAGGACAATGCGCAGTTTCCTCCTCAAGATGGGAAGTTTCCGCCTCAGCATGCTGGTAGACCTGAAGATGGTGGCCAGTTTCCTCCAGTGCATCACACCAGTGATGACAGCAAGTTCCCACCTCTTCACCCAGGCAGACCCCAAGAAGCTAATCAGTTCCCACCAAATCATCCAGGTAGACCTCAAGAAGGTGGACAATTTTCCCCACACCACCCAGGTAGACCTCAGGATGGTGGTCCATTCCCTCCTCATCGGCTTGGGAGATTTCCAGATGGCCATTTTCCACCAATGCATCACGGACCTCCTCCGTTTCATCAGCGACCTCCACACCACATGAGAATGCCACCTTTCCATCCAGGAGGGCCAAGGTTCCCTCATGATTTACCGCCTCTCATGCCCTCTGGAGGACCACCACGTGGTCCCGACTTTGGTCCCCCTGGACCGGGCCCATGGGGGCCAGGCCCAGGACCAATGAGGGGGCCACCCCCACATGCTATTCCTCCTCCTGGCTGGCCAGAGAATAGACCCACTGAAGATGCTCGTGATCCTGAAGTAGCTGAGGACTGGAAGGAACAAAAGAGTAACAATGATGAAGAGCAGGCAGAGGAGATGAACACAGTCAGCGATAATATCACAGTAGAGAAGCCAGACGATGAGCGAGACTTCGGTCGCAGACCAAGAAGAGAACACGACGATCGAGATCGTGAGCGATCTCGGGATCGGAGTCGTGAACGTGGACGTGACCGTGATGATCGTGGTCGAGATCGCGACGATCGGGTTCGAAATCGAGATCGGGATGAGCGTTTTCGTGATCGTGATCGCGGCCGAGATCGCGAACGTGATCGAGATCGTGATCGTGGCCGGGATCGTGATCGCGACCGAGATGACAGAAGACGCGAACGCGACGAAAACCGATCAAACAGGGACGTAAATGGAGAAAGGGATGGCCCGAGGGATGGCGCAAGGGATGGCCCCCGACGACGGAGCAGATTTGAACCTATGGAAGAAAAACCAGACTCAACTGAATTGGAAGTGAAAGAGAACAATGTTAATGAAATCAAAGAACCTTCCAGCATTGTTGCGATTCCAATTTCTCGAAATTCTGACAACGAATTTGCACCAAGTGAAGAGGGTGAGATTGTAGATAGAAACGACAACGAAGTTCTAAATAATCCCAAGAATATCGAAACTGTGAATGTTCTCCAAGGCAACGAAGACGGAAACATTGCTAAGGATATTGAAGCAGAAAATTTCCCCATGGATAGTGAGGACAAAAACATTCCCATGGATATCGAAGCTGTGAACAATCCCAGTGATATCGAAAACTTGAACATTCCCAGGGATGTCGAAGCTATAAATAACCCCACCGATATCGAAACCGCGACCATTCCCAAGGGTATCGACTGTGTGGCCTTTCCCAAAGGAAATGAAACTGCGAACATTGTCGGCGACGGTGAACAAAGTAGTGCGGTTGAGACTTCAAAGTTATTGAACAGTGATATTAAAGGCGATGCTGAACAAGTCAGTTCCAGCTGACTGGTGTAAAATTACTCACAAACAGAAGGTCGAGTAACGCGTGGTGTTCGGACCGCGACTCGCTCTTGTACCTTACATAAAACCTTCAAACCTCTTTCACTTTTTGATATGACGTTTCTCTGCGCCTTGCTTGTTGCAAACGAGTTTGATACGTGTTTCACTTGCCATGCTCATTGGTCAATATCTCGTCTTGCGGACCTGCAAGTTGGTCTTGTGGCGGGCAGATCACCCTCCTTCTGTTAATTTGACTTGTTAATTCTTAGACCTAATCTGAATGGACAAAATTTATTTTGTGTTGAAGACAAATGTCTTTAGGTTCGAACAGCACCTGGACCCATGCATTTAGTGTCGCTGTAAATCTCTAAAGTCATAACGGTAGTAACTGTTAATTACATATAAAAAAATATATTTATTTAATTTCACAAGGCGAGATGATTGGCTTATGTAATCAGAATGGTCAATTATTCTCAGACGGAGATGTCATTTAGTTATGGTGTCTCAAAGAGAACTTCAAGGAAAGTCCTCAGTAATCTGAGTAATGGTAGACATGAATCATAGAGAAACTGTTTCCTTTCGATAATTTGTTTACTGATAACACTGGGGTTATGATACAAAGTCGAATAAGTCAACCTTGAATAAGTCAGTAATTACTCAGATTTTTACACTGGCGGGGTCCCCGGTGGGGGCCATCCCATAAGCCCATTCGGACGCTAAAGTGCCACAGTTTGCGGAAGCAGTAGCGGCTTACGAGTACAGGCACAGCGACTTGTAATCAAATGTTTTAGCAGTTGCAGCACAAGCGGAGTTTTAGAGGTGCGTATGTTGTATATTTTTTGTATTATAAAGTTTTTAGTGTTGTTAAAGAACGGACAGCGGGAATGAAGTCTTGTAACCTGGCGAAAGCGATCTGTTAGTTAACTTTCACTTCAGTTGGTGTAAGAAACTACTCCGAATTTTCGTCAGTCTTCTGAATGTCGTAAATTAGCGGGTCCGAAGCAGTGAAATACTTTCTAAGTACTTAGTCTAAGGTATAGCTTACATTCGGCATGGACAACTTTTTGAGAAGAAATTTGGACTCGGTAATACCGTTCAATAGCTAAGACATGTAGCAGGTTCCGGAAAAAAATTGTCGTTGCCAGGATAGCCTAGGCCTTGGGTGGCGAAAACGTGCGCAAAGTTTATATGAGATGAAATAAACCTTGAAAAATAACCGTGAAAACACAGGTGAAAACAGTAACGTTGATAAAAATATGGAGAATGATCAAACAGCTTTTGAGGCGTGAAACAAGTTTGCAGTCGGGCTAGGTGAAGTGTTCCTTCATGTCAGCAATAAAAAGAACGAAATTCAAAATGAGAAATTAAGGACATCTAGCCCAGTACAGTTCCACTATACTGTATAGGTCTGAACATTTGTAGTAAGAGAATTTGACATGTTTCTCAAATGCTTGATGATAAAGCATGGTTTACATGCTTGATTAAATGCAAACGCAAGCAAATACACTTCCAAACTACCCTAACACAAATGCCAACGCGAGCATAAGTGCCAACGCAAGAAATGGAAAAATCTTCAGTTTCTTGTCAGGCTGTGTCTAGAAAGCGTTAGGGTGTCACAGGTTACTAACTTTTTGTCTTTGGTGACTGGAAAAACTTTTTAAATATAAGCTGAAGGACTGGGCACCCAGGATTTTGTGGTTGGGAACCTGTGGGCTCCTTGGAATTTTTTTAAGACCACAGCCTTGCTTGCACTTGTGTTTCTGCTTGCATTTGCATTTTACACATGTGAACTGGAACAATACAAATGTGCAAACACATCTCAAGTCTCAATACTTAGTCTCATCTTTCATCAGAAAGACTGACTGCGTATGCATATCTTACCAAGATTATCAGTCTAGTAAGGCGTGACGAGTTTGGTGACCAGGTTTTGACATTCCTCTTTTGTTGTTATCACGGGCAACTGGCTCGATTTCCAGTGGCAACTTGTTGGCCTTTGATGTCATTAGCAGCAAAGCGCACAAAATTATTGTTACCACTGGAAAGGAGGAAAGTTACCCATGGCAACACTTTGTCACCATAGCTTGTTGCGCCTTACTCAACTGATAATATTTAGAATGTAGTACCTTGGTGTGTGCATTCAATGTGTGAATGTCATTTGCTTTCGTGTTTGCATTTGTATTGCTTGTGTGAACCAGGAAATAAAAGTAGCTGCAAATTGTTAGTTATCACCTTCTGCCCAATCAGTGATTTCTTTTTCACTTGATTTTCTCAACTTCAATCTTTGATTTAAAAAAAAGCAAAGCATTTTCAGTGATACTTTTATCTGATGGGGGTCAAGCAAAGGTAATGGAGAGAAATTAAACAAAGATATATCTATTCAGTTTTACTGTTAAGTGAGGCTTCCCCAGGCTAGCTTGGCCAGCTATGGCTACAGAAAAATGCCTTCCCATGATCTCTGAAAGGTGGACTTGCTACTATTATACAGGGCTGCAGCTAAGCTCTCTCCCGGCTATGATTTTCATTGATCTGGTCACTAATTTTCATGAGAGACCTGGAACCAAATTTTTGTCCCCAATCTTTCGCAAAGCCTTGAATGCCTAGCCACTAAGCTCGACATTTACAAGATTACAGTCACAGTACACAGAATGAGAACAAGGTAAACAAGTGCTCAAAACAGGATATATTTCAATTATTTTACTCATTATAGTGGTACCGATACGCAAGGTAGTCCGGAATTTATCCCAAACTTTTCATTGAGTTGATTTAGACAGCTCGATATGGTTCAGGTATTGAATGATTGTACATGCGTAACATAAAAACTGTTTGTTGTTATTTACCAAGTGATTACCCGCCAGAATCCAGCTGGTGATCACCTCTTTCTCAGCTGGTGAATTTCACCAGCAGCTAGTGCTTCAGCTTAGCGACAACCCTGATTATATTAGAATGCACATCAAGTGAAGCTAAAATTGTTCTGTCACTTCAGCAGAGTGTTCACTTTATGCCCCAAAGTCCCTGAATTTGATTCCTTACTTTCATGTAACTCTAGCATTTTTGTTTAACATTATTTGAATGGCACTTGAAATATTGAATCTAAATCCTTGAAAAGCCCTGAAATGTTCAAAAGACAGATGTCC